TTTCTCAACCTAGATGCTATCAACTATGGTTTACTTTTCTTATTTATGTCATGGAGGCCTTCCAGTGAGCTAATAAGATAGTAATTCATGGTTTAAAAACAACCTGAAACCATCAAGAGAAAGCAGTATTTTGGTTTGTGAATGATCTAGTGCCCCAAAGCTCTACACCAGACATCATCCTTACAGTTTGACAATGACAGTAACTCACCCAAAATCTTATCAAAATAATTAAGAAAAGAATCCACATCAAAAGTGATTGGAGCCTCAGAAGGGTCTCTGAAAGATTAAAGGGAAAAACACATTGAATTTATCCTGACCACAACTCTGAGACATTTTCTAAGATGGTACCATTCTTAAAAAAACTATCAGAAATATCTGAGAAAGGGACAGCAAAGATATTGTAGCTTAGATTTAAAAAACAAATCCTTGTACTTATTGGCCTTTGAACAGCAACTGAAAAAAGGAAAGTCTTAGAAAAGTTAAAATTATTTAAGCCTCTGCATTTAGGGGCTTGTCTGCTCTGTACCCCTACAAGAAATTTCTAAAGTAAGAAGTGATTCATCTGAGTTCATTTACATAAGCTTATTTCTATAAGACTCAAAACTTATGCCTCTAACCCCAGCACTTGGGAGGTGGAAGCAGGAAGATAAGGATTTCAAGTGAGTTTGAGGCAAGCCTTGGCTACCAAGACCCTGTCTTAAAAAAAAACATCAATAAGGGGTTGGAGAGATGGCTCAAAAGTTAAGAGCAGAGGCTGCCCTTGCAGAGGACCCAAGTTCAGCTCCCAGCACCTACATGGCTAACAACATCCTCAACTCCAGTTCCAGGGAATCTGACACCCTTTTCTGGCCTCTGCATGCATTGCATGCAAGGGTGCACTTACATACATACAGGCAAAACACTCAAATACATAAAATAAAAGTAATTAAATATTTAAAACATCAAGACAAAACAAGAAATCAAAGCTCAACAAATTATAAGAATATACTTTCCCTTATCTCTGCCTTCCTAAAGAGCAAATACTAAACATAAACTTTAATATTTTCTTAAAGTTCTGGAATATCAAAACTAATAAAGATTTGCTAGGCTGGAAAAATAGCTCAGCAACAGAGTACCTATTAATATATGCAAACCTGATTCAATCCCCAACACAGACAAAAAGGAAATAAAGAAATCTATTTGCTATACACACAATTCTGTCCACTTTTCCTCTCGTTACTTGCTACATAGTTTAATATTTCTTCTGTCATTATTTCTGCCTTTGATGAGTCCCTTTAACCCCTCCCTTTGAATTTCAAGCTTCCGCTTTGCTTGTAAGGTGGGAGATGGAAAGCCTGAGCTTGTTAAGAGTGAGACCAACAGTCCACCAGCTCTAAGAGCCTAAGGGGTAAAGCACACACTTCCTGTCATGGCTCTGGATGGTGGCTTTTACATCTGTTGAGTTTTCTGGCTTACTTCAAGAATTACAAAGGCTACTTGAAGTCTGATCTCAGATAAGTGAGTTGTCACTATATCAAGCATCAAAAGAGGAAAATGGGGCTAGAGAGATGGCTCAGCAGTTAAGAACACTGGATGAGGGGCTGGAGAGATGGCTCAGCGGTTACAAGCACTGACTGCTCTTGCAGAGGACCTGGGTTTGATTCCCAGCACCCACATGGCAACTAAAAACTGTTGTTAACTCTAGTTCCAGGGGAATCCGAAGCCCTCTTTTGACCTCCGCGGCATTGCACGACATGGGTGCACTCACATACATGCAGGTAACACACTCATACACATAAAAAAAATAATAAAATATTAAAAAAAGAAACAAAAACAGCTGGGTGCAGGGGGATCTCAGTGAGTTCAAGGCCAGTCTGGTCTACATAGTGAGTTCCAGGCCAGCTGGGGCTACAGGGAGACCCTGTCTCAAAAAGACCAAAACAAAAAAAAAAACAAAAAAAAACCAAACACTGGTTGTTCTTGTAGAAGACCCAGGTTTGAATCCCAGTACCCACATGACAGCTAACAACTGTCCATAACTCCAGTTCCAGGGGATTTGATGGCCTTTTCTTCCTCTGGGGGCATTGCATGACATGGGTGCACTTACATACATGCAAGCAACACACTCATACACATAAAATAAAAATAATAAATGAAATAGGGAAACAAAGCAGTACAATTCAATTATTTTAAAAAGTAATAAAAATAACCAATAATTGGGGCTGCAGCATTCGGGAGGCAGAGGCAGGTGGATCTCTGTAAGTTCTAGGCCAGCCTGGTCTCCATAGTGAATCCAGGACAGCTGGGGCTACAGGGAGACCCTGTCTCAAAATGACCCCCCCCCCAAAAAAATGATGGGGCTGGAGAGATGGCTCAGCAGTTAAGAACACTGGTTGTTCTTGCAGAAGACCCAGGTTCGAATCCCAGCACCCACATGTCAGCTAACAACTGTCCATAACTCCAGTTCCAGGGGATCTGACCACCTCTTCCGACCGCCTCAGGCATTGTACGACATGGGTGCACTCACCTACAGAGGACCTGGGTTTGATTTCTAGCACCCACACAACAGCTAACCATCTGTAGCTCCAGTTTCAGGGGATCTGATGCCCTCTTTTGGCCTCTGCAGACATTGCATGACATGGTGCACTTATATACATGCAGGCAAAACACTTGTACATGTAAAATAAAAATAAATAAATAAATATATTCTTTAAATGATAAATGCTAGCCAAGTATGGTGACTCAGTATCTGTAATCCCAAAACTCAGGAGTCTGAGGCAGCAGGGTTATCTTGGGTTTGAGGTCATCATGAGCTACAGTGTGAGACTATCTCAAAAAACAAACAAAAAAGAAAAATGCAATAGTATGGATGAATCTTAATATGTTGTATTCTTTAATACAGTACAAACAAGTACATAATGATGATTCCAGTTACTTAAAATTCTAGATAAGTTGGCTCACTTCACATTGACAGAAAATTGGCAATTATGCCTTAAAGGGAGGGAAGGAAAGAATCACCAGGGCAACAGGTGACTCTGGGTGATGGAGTGATTGGTTTTCTGGAGGTGGCATCCTAGCTGCATGCATATGTCAAAGCCTAGCATTCTATACTTTAAACATTTGCAGTTTATCATGTGTTAATCTCAATAAGACTATTTTCTATTTTAAAAAGAAAGACAGAAGCCCAGGTCTGACATGTAGTTATTTATTCAGTTAGTCCTTACTTAAGAAAAAATTGTGTACGTGTGTGTGTGTGTGTGTGTGTGTGTGTGTGTATGTGTGTGTGTGTGACATGCATGCCATGGTCAACACTGGTTGTTCTTGCAGAAGACCTGGGTTCAAATCCCAGCACCCACATGGCAGCTAACAGCTGTCCGTAACTCCAGTCCCAGGGGATCCAACAGCCTCTTCTGACCTCCGCGGGCATTGCACGACATGGGCGCGCTTACCTACAGGCAGGCAATGCACGCATATACATAAAATAAAAATAAAAAATGAGAAAAAGAAAGAACCGCCCCCCAAAAATACCAGGTGGCATATAATGGGATTTGAGGCCAGCCTGGATAACATCTTAAACAAAACAAAACCAGAAAGCAAGGGCAGCACTTTCCACTGATGGGACGTGAACATCTAGAGTGTACTTAGATATGTATACTTTAAATTACCGAGGCAGCTCTGCTCCCTTGTGGGTGGAGACTTTGGATATGAAGGCTTTCATGCTCTCAGAGACCTGAGTTAAGTCACAGCTCTGCTTCTCCTTCTTGGCAACGGGCTGTGATTCTTTTTCTCCCACAGCTTCTTGCAGTAGCTGGTCCAGCTGCTCTGGTGAGAGCTCTAACCACTGGTCATCTGAAAAAGAAGAAAGCAGGATATTGCAGTCCTGCAGGCCCAGGAGAGCCACAGGGAATGACCCTGGGCACTTAGTGGGATATTTGAATTCTTTCTAACCTCCCTGTTCTATCTGGTCCATCACTTACCATCCTCGGGAGGAAGATTAGCTTCTTCTTTCTTAAGTTCTTCTACATCGAACAGTAAAGTCTGTAACACAGTTAAGATTTCTTCACCTGGGCTCATAGCAAGTGAACTAAAAAACATAAAATACACGCATTTTTATAAGTGAGTTACTCTATGATGGGAACATGATTTCTCATATACATTTATAGAACTTGGAACTCTTTAGAATGAAGCAAATCAAGTTGTAGAAGGTAATTAAGTTGATTTACCAAACATCTGGATACCTTGTCAAGTCATGTGGGTAATAAATTATCCCTACTCCATGTTACACAATCATTACCAGGCAAGAGAAAAGAAATACACAAGTAATCATAATAGATGGCAGTATACAACTATGTGTAGTTGTGTGTGTTTGTAATTCCATCGCTCAGAAGGTGGTTAAAACCAGTCTCCGCCATGCAGCCAGCCTGGGACCAGCCTGGGCTTAAAGAGGTACTCAAAAAATAAATCTTTTTTTTTTTTTTTGGTTTTTTTGAGACAGGGTCTCCCTGTAGCTCCAGCTGTCCTGGAACTCACTATGTAGACCAGGCAGGTCTTGAACTCACAGAGATCCACCTGCCTCTACCTCCCAAGTGTTGGGATTAAAGGCATGTGCCACCACACCCTGCTCTCAAAAAATAAATCTTAAAAAAACACAAAATCCTAAAAATGATAAATAAATGGCAAAACACAGCCATTCAGGAATAGCAAATAGCAAAGAAGACATGGAAGAAGGTAATTAACTTCTTTCATTTGGGTGTGGAGAAGTTTAAAAAAGAGATAGGGGGCTGGAGAGATGGCTCAGCAGTTAAGAACACTGGTTCTTGCAGAACCCGGGTTCGAATCCCAGAACCCACATGGCAGCTAACTGTCCATAACTCCAGTTCCAGGGGATCCGACCATCTATTGTGACCTCCGCAGGCATTGCACGACACGGGTGCACTCACCTACATGCAGGCAATACATGCATACACATAAAATAAAAATAATAAATAAAATATTTTTTTTAAAAAAGAGAGAGATAGGGTCTGCAGGATCGTTCAGCATCTGTTACCAAACCTGATGACCTGAGCTGATTCCTGGGAACCACTTGGTAGAAAGAGAAAACTGATTCCTGCAAGTTGTCCTCTGACCCTCCACACATATGCTTTGGCGCATGCACACGCACACGCACACACACACACACACACACACACACAGTCTCTCTCTCTCTCTCTCTCTCTCTCTCTCTCTCTCCCCCCCCTAAGTAAATAAATAAGTAAATAGATAAATAAAACTATACCAGTGTGGAGATAGGCTGATTCCAGGGCTTCCTAGCCAACCAGCCTAGCTGAAATGGAGAGCTTCAGATCCTCTGAGAGACCTTGTGTCCAAAAATAAAGGCTGGGCATGGCAGCACATGCCTTTAAGCCTAGCACTTGGGAGTCAGAGACAGGTGGATCTCTACAGCCAGCCTGTTCTACATGAGTTTAAGATCAACCAGGGCTACTGAAAACAAAGGTAGAAGAAAGCATCTCTACATCATCAACCTCTGGCCTTCATATTCACATGCAAAGGCAGGCACACCTGCACAAAGAGAAAACAAAATGAAAGGCTTCACGGAGGACCATTTGAGAGACCCTCTCAAAGAATGGGATAGATTTTTTTTTTAAATACACAAAGATGTTTATTATATTTTAGCTTTCGTTTAAAGATTTAGGCCATTTGGCAGGGGACTCATAGGGAGCTTAGTACTTATAAGCAGACAGAGGTGATCTCTCTCAGAGGGCTCTTCACTATCTCAGTGATCACTACCTGACTTAGCGTTAAATGTTCTCTTCCAGCACTTCCTTCACAGTCCTAAGGGGGCCCTAAGGCCTTACTTTGACTCTTTCTAGAACTCAAGTGTATTCATTGTTCAGTACAGTGACTGTGGTCTCCATATGCGCCTTGTAATAATATTTTTATGTTCTGAAAGAAACAGTAGCTCAAGCATGGGAAGCTGGAAACTCTGTTGCTATGGCAGTGCTTCAAAATGTATTTCCTTAAATGCTTTCTTTGTTACTGCATCTTCATTTAGTACACCTTCCAGATAATGAAGCCCAGAGTCCTGTCCCTAGTACAGTTATCTTTGGGGTACTGTCACTGTCTTCACTGTGAAAACAGACTGGACTTTCAGTTCTACTGCACAAGATACAACGTGTTACTGACTGGCTTTGACTCTGCCTGAATATACTTTCTCATATTTGGCATACATGTGGGTTAATTTTTTTCTTGAAGATCTGTAGATAAAATATTTCTTTGTGAAAAAAAAAAAAAAAAAGTTTTGCCTGCATGCATGTAAGTGAACCAGGTGCATATAATGCCTGCAGAGGCCAGAAGAGGGCATTGGATCCTCTGGAAATGGAATTACTGACAGTTGTTAGCTGCCATGTGGGTGCTGGGAACTGAACCTGGGTCCGTCCCCTGCCAGAGGAGCCAGTACTCTTAACCACCGAACCATCTCTCCAGCCCACTTTTTGATATTTTTGCATGCTCATTTTTTCTAATTATTTTATTTACTTACTTTTAATTTTCTAATTATGCTGTCAAGAGGAACAGTCTCTGTGTGTGTGTGTGTGTGTGTGTGTGTTCATGTAAATTTGTATGTGTGAAGATGCACATGTGTGTTTATCTCCATCTTGTTTTTTTGAGACAAGGTCTCCCATGGGACCTGGTGCTTGCTGAGTAGGCTACCCTGGGAGTCCTAGGGATCTACTTGCTTCCACCTCCCCAAAGCTGGGATTACAAGAGCAGGCCACAATGCCCAACTTTTTACAAGGGTGCTGGAGATCAGATATTCAGGTCCTTATGCTTACATGGCCAGCAGTGTATCAACTGAGCTCCAGACCCTTCTCATTTTTTTTGATAAAAATTATACATATATCATGTATAACACAATGTTTTGAAACATGCACAAGCAGAATGAGGTAACATATGCATTACCTCACAGTTGTAATTTCTGTGGTGGGAACACTCACCATTCATGCTGTATTTTTTTTTTTTAATGTGTATGCATGTATTGCCTGCATGTAGGTCAGTGCACTCGTGTTGTGCAATGCCCGCGGAGGTCAGAAGAGGCTGTCAGATCCCCTGGGTCTGGAGTTAAAGACAGTTGTAAGCTGCCATGTGGGTGCTGGGATTCGAACCTGGGTCTTCTGCAAGAACGGTCAGTATTCTTAATGGCTGAGCCATCTCTCCAGCCTCCTCATGCTGTATTTTTTAAGAATATAGCATAGCTTCAAGTATATGAAGTAATACACATATTACTCTAACTTAATCATTCTGAAGTATATAAACACTTCAAAACACCATGTTGTACATAATATATACAATGTTCTCTGTCACTTCAATGCAAATAAATCTGAAAAAAATACGCTGCAACTCATTTATCCATGTTAGATGGATACTGCAGCAACTTGCAATTTTCCATTATTATAATCTCTAATAAATCTTAGGAGATGGGAAAGTAGCATGATTAGAGCTGTATTTCCCTAGCACTACTGGTTGAGTTGAACGAGAAGAATCACTAGAGATTGGGAAACACATGTAGTATTGACACAGTTGAAATAAGTAACTTGGGTCACAGGGCAGAGGGTAGCAATAAACAGAATTTCAGGATCCGAGGACAATGAGGATGGCAATAGTACTATAAGATGGATTAGCTGGGCGGGACAGTGCATGTCTGTGATACACCTGGGAGATGGCAGTAGGAGGATCAGCAGTTCAAGCTTACCCTTAGCTACAAAACAAATTCAAGGCCATCCTAGGCTACATGAAATCCTATCTCAAAACAAAACAAAACAAAAGACAAAAAGCCACTCTCAGCTATTAAGGACAAGCTCCCAGCATAGAGGATTCAAGAACAGGTCTGGAGGAGGTAGGAGTTTGGTTTAAAATAGTTTATAGTGGCTGGAGAGAAGTCTCAGCAGTTAAGAGCACTGGCTACTCTTGTGGAAGATATGGATTCAATTCCCAGCACCCACATCGCCACTAAACACTTGTCCGTAGCTCCAGTTCCAGGGGATCTGATGCCCTCTTCTGACCTCCACAGGTATTGCATGACACGGGTGCACTTACATACATGCAGGCAACACACTCACACACATTAAAAAAAAAAAAGTTTAAAAGGCCAGGTATGATGGCCCATGTTCACAATCCCAGAAGTTGGAAAGGGGAGATAAGAGGATCACAAATCTGAGGTCAGTCTGAGCTACAAAGTGAGACTCTGACTCAAAAACCAAAAGACCAAACCAAAATGACACTGTTTATAAATTATTCTGGTATGAGAAATGGGAGTCTTTCTTGAAACTTTAAAATGATGTTTTAGCCAGGCCTGGTGTATGACTTTAGTCCAAGCACTCAGGAGCAGAGATGCAAAGATTTCTGTGAGTTCAAGACCAAGGTCAGGCTGGTCTACATAGTGAGTTCCAGGCTAGCTATGGCTACATAGTAAAACCGTCTCAGAAAAATAAAAAATATTGATGTTTTGTTTTGTTTTTTTGAGACAGAATCTCTTTATAAGCCAGGTTAGCCTGGAACTCACACTGTAGGCCAGGTTAGCCTCAAAGTCATGGTGATCCTCCTGCCTCAGTCTCCTCAGTGCTAGGATTACACACATGAGTCACCATACTTCACTTACATTGGATGTTTAAGCAACTTGTATACTTTCATGATAAGCAAAAATAGTTGAGTACATTATGGTATATCCATTAGTTTAACCATTATGTTATAAAGATTTTGTAGTTGGATATAGTGATACATGCCTTTAATGCCAGCACTCAGGAAGCAGAAGCAGGAAGATCTCTGTGAGTTTGGGGCCAGCCTGGTCTATATACTAAGTTCCACGATTACACAGTGAGACCCTATCACAAAAAAGAGGGTGGAGGCACTTTTAGTTACCCACCAAACTGGATGGTGACACTCTACTGCTGAAGACACTATATATATATGAGCTATAGAACAAACAAGGAAAAGTCAAGCTGGTGCTGACTGGCTAGTGTTCATAGTGCTGGAAGGTGCTATACATGCTCCTGGAGGGAGAAAATAGTCATCAACCTGACCCAGCTGTGAATCCTCTGAACTACAAGGACAACTGGTATGGCAAGACATGCCTACCAGTGCAAAAGTAGCACAAATATTATGGGAATAACCAACCACTCTTTAATTGGATTTAAGGTTTGCTTTCTAGGATGGAGCTGGTATCAGCCATTGATATCAGACTTAGGAACATGAGGCTAGACAGGCTACAAGACACAGGGGCAAACCTCATACCAGTTTTCTACTAAATAGTTATCATATTAAACTGACTCTTAGCCGGGTGTGGTGGCACACACCTTTAGTCACAGCACTCGGGAGGCAGAGGCAGGCGGAACTCTGAGTTCAAGGCCAGCCTGGTCTACATAGTGAGTTCCAGGACAGCTGGGGCTACAGGGAGACCCTGTCTCAAAAAGACCAAAATTTAAAAAAAAAAAATTAAACTGACTTCTTTTGCCAGGTGTGGTGGCACATGCCTTTAATCCCAGCACTCAGGAGGCAGAGGCATGAGGATCTTTGTAAGTTCAAGGCCAGCCTGGTCTACATAGCGAGTTCTAGGACAGCTGAGGATACAGGGAGACCCTGTCTCAAAAAGACCAAAAAGTAGGGCCAGATGTGGTAGCGCACACCTTTAGTACTAGCACTTGGGAGGCAGAGGCAGGCAGATCTCTGTGAGTTCAAGGCCAGCCTGGTCTACATAGCAAGTTCCAGGTCAGCTGGGGCTACAAGGACTACAGGGAAACCCTGTCTCAAAAAAACCAAAAAAAAAAAAAAAAAAAAGACCAAAAAATAAAATAAAATGACTCTTTTTAAGAAATATTTTATCTATCTATCTATCTGTCTGTCTATCTATCTATCTATCTATCTATCTATCTATCTATCTATCTATCCATCCATTTATGTGCATGAGTGGTTATTGCTTACACGTATGTAAGCACACTCATGTCATACAATGCCCAAGAACATCAGAAGAGGGCATCAGATCCCATAGAACTGAACTTACAGACAGTTGAACTTACAGGCACCATGTGGGTGCTGGGAATCAAACCTAGGTCCTCTGCATTAATTATATATATGC